AAAAAAACTACAACCTTTTTCCTGTGTCAGCCTCTTTAGAGACAGAAACCTTTTTATTGTATTTTATGTAAAATGAAGAAAAAGGTGTTATGACAACTTGATTGACTGTGCTAGGACTGCATCTCAGTTGATAGCTAAGTACTGCTATTAAATTCTCTCAGATTGATTGTAATTCTATAATCATGGCTAAGCTTCGCGAACGAAGATTTGGGGAGGGCTCTACCCACATTTGTTACAAGTGCACTGGTGGCTAAAAAGGCCAATACGAGATAGGCACGACCGGTCGCAAAAGGCACAGCAGAAAGACTCCTTAGGTGGTATATTCTGCAAGACACGATTCTTTCTGCGTTGTCTTTTCTCCTCGAGAGTGATCCTGCGTGCTTTCTCAAAGGCATCAGCAGCAATATATATTAGTTCTAATAACTAATGGTGTGAAACAAGGCTGTGTTCTCACACCAACCCTATTCACAGTCTTTTTCAGCATGATGCCCCAAGGGCCCATGGCAGACCTGGAGGATCAGGACGGTATCTACATTCAATACCGTACTGATGGAAGCCTTTTCAACCTAATTCTATAATATTACTAGGATTAATAATGGATTTTCTTATGCATGAAACAACTGGTGTTTTACAGTCTTCCTAAGACCACAGTTTTGTCATCTGTTGGGTTTTGTATGTAGTCTTGAGAGCCTGGAAAATGAGGGTTCTTGAAATCAAACAGACACTACAGTAGTGGCTCTTAAAGCTTCTTCATTCATTTGGCTGTCTCTTCTAAACGACAGATTCCAGAGAAAAACATCTACTTCAAACAGCCAGTTTCCTGATGATACACAAAGGGTGAAACCCCAGTGCTGGTAAAAGAAATGGGGTAGTGATGCATAGACCAAGATTTTGGTTTTTGGGGCATCCAGCTTTGGAACTGTAGGTGCATTTAGACTGTGCCCCTAAAGCAATAGTTTTAAATGAGAGATGTGTGCAGCTTTCAAAACTGCATCTTTACCAGATGTAGGCAGCATCCTTCTTGAAGGGATGAGCTGTTTCCCACCCTGAGCCAGGCAGCGCAACAGGTGACAGGCCTGGGCTGGAGAGCCAAAGCTATTGCATTATACCTCTGCTATTCCTTTTTTATTGTAGTATTGTTCCTGTAGTGGTTTGCTGACAAGTTACATGTTTTACAGATCAGGTCTGCTTGACAGGATTGCTTTAAATCCTGTCTAGGAAAAGTCGGGTTTGTAAATCAGACCTTACAGTTCCTATTGGAATGCTAATGATCTCAAAGGGAGGGCTTGAGTTTGAAAACAAATCTAAGCTAATGCCAGGGTTCCTGAAAGAGCTGTTAATATCATGAAAACTCATGCTTAAGGCCTCTTTTAAAATGTAAAAACTTGTCAGACACTGCTCTAGTAGGGCTGTTTGCAATCACTGTAATGTGCTGACACACCAAAGCACTCTTTGCTCCATCTGGCCACTTCTCTTCTGCTGCGGTGCAGCAATTCCAGTGCTGCCAATAGCAGTGCAAACCAGAGCATAATGTGGCCCATCATGGTTTGGATGTATTCGCTGCACAGATAGCTATGCAAGGCGGTTAGCCCATCATGCTTGGCCCTCGAATGACTCTTCTCTTGGTTATTGTGGGATAGTGAGCTCCCAGACCAATGCTGCCCTCACACATTTTGAAAAAGTGTTCAAAAAAGTCAAAATACATCAACCATTTAAGGGTTTTGAACATTCCACGTTCATTCATACTAGGTGTGAGCAATGAGGTGTGTTTTACAAAACCTTTCTGATCTGAGGAAGCAGTGTAGAGCCAGACACAAATGTGGGACTCTGACATCTCTCTTCCCCACCAGTCCAAGTAAGTTTCTGTTGCTACAACCAACTCAATTCCAGGTGAATTAGTAAGGTTAGTATAGCAAATTAGGCCTTATTCAGCTGTGATAACCAGTGGCATTTTAACTGCTGCATCATCTTGATCTGATGAAAATCAATATAAAGGGTGAAGTGGTTAACACATCAGCAGCTTTGTTGATACTCTTTCTGGCACTGGCTGGCCATTCGATTGAGAAAAATGCTCTTATAGGTTCAACATTAGCAAGTCCTCACTATCTCATGAGGAAGAAGGAAGCTAACCATTTCTGTGCCTCAAAAGGTACTTTGCATTCAGTTATATAAAGATGTCTGTAGCACTCCGCCTAGACATTTTAGATAGAATCAATCCTGAGGAAAGAGACATTACGTCTGCCAAATTTCAGGCCAAAGCAAGATTTTATAGCCCGATTGCAAACCCCTAGGACAGGGCTTTTTAATGGAAATGCTGACATAGCCTTAACTATTTTGTATGTCTCCAGCGGGCACCAGCTTAAATTCCAGTTGTGATGTGCATTTAATGGCATGGGATCAAACATAGCGTAATTAGGATATTTTAAGATACTGTGTTTGAAGAGAATCCATATTTAAGCATTATTTATGAACTATATCATTTGAGTGTTTCTGAAATGTGCCATTCAGTCCTTGGGTGAATGAAAAAAATTCTAATCACATTTCTCAGAATGAACAGTAGCATTCTGTAGTAGTTTTCTTCCACAGCTTTAATGCTAAGGCACTTCCAAGAAGAGAGTTGGTATTATTTTGTGGAACCCTTACTGGAATATTTCTGGAAAATAAAGGTTTTTGTTTTTCATTGTGGTGCTCTCTAGTTCTTCACTTCAGCCTTTTGAGGAATATTATGATTTTGCTTGGAGAATATCTCAAAGATCATTTCTCTCCAATTAACAGTGACTCTGCAAGAAGACAGCAGTTATTAGTATTTGCTGTGTTGTGCTAGACAAATCAGCTTTTTCTTGTGCGGTATCGTTCATATATTTAAAGTTAAGTTGATAACATAAAAGTTCTCTCTCTCACACAACCTAATACACTTTTTTTTTTTCTGTTCATGCTGAGGAAGTGGTTGCTCCAAGATGGAAATTGACATTCATTAGTCCTGTAGGTTGACAGTAAAACTTGCTTTAATGCAGATGGTGACTAGAACTCTCATTGCTTTTGCTGTGAATGGGAATGTAGTGTTGAAAGCATTCGGTTTTGCTTATTACTCATTTGCAGTCTGGAACATAAAGCCATATGCTTTATCCTAGAAAAAGAGCTGTTCCTTCAATTGTTATTTGCTGAATAATAGTGCTAACTGAAATTATTTCCGTGGAGAAGGTTAGGAAGTTTCAGAGCTAATCCTAATAAGTTTTTGTAGCAGTTTGAATCTGGTTTTACTTTATTAGCAATAATCTGTGTGAAGGTCTCAAATCACTTTGATAAGGTAAAAACTGAAACAATCTTTGGAGAGATGCCAGTCTGACTAAGCCAAAGACACTGTCACTGGTTTCTGTTAAGACAGACCTCCACTCCTGCTGCAAGTCTGTCCAGCCAGGAACAGGAGAACCAGAGTACTTTGCTTTCAGAAGTTGCAATAGCAGAGTTGGTCGGTGTTATTCCTGTCCAATTTTTGAGAAACTTTGCTTTAAAAAAGACTCTGGAGTATATTTTGTTTCTGAAAGTTTGCAAATCATGCTGTTTAGGAAGCTTCCTTTATATATGAACACATTTTCAGGGGATATGGAAATTATATGATTTTCATCCTTTAAAAAACAGGCACAAACTGATGATATGTCCTAAATGGCTAATAACCAGAATTCCAATTAGGTCAGCAGTTGATGTAAAGATTAAAATTCTCTCTTAATCCTGTGGTAAGATCTAAATTATTTAAGTGCTTCATTCCACATGGTTCTTAGAACTGTGCTCTTTTGGGTTTTTTTACTTTTGGGAGAGTCAAATGACACAAAAAAGTACTGTAATGCTCCTGACTTTACAGGAAAAATCAGTAGTCTGAAAAAGACACTTCCCATTCTTTAATAATGTTACAAGAGCCTACCATTTGTTTGACAGGAAACAGAATATATTGAGATGCATATCTCAACAGCAGAGTTCCATAATGAAAAAAATCTATATCTATGCACTACTTAGGACTTCTGAAATTTGCTAAGAGCATTTTAGCATTTGCTAAGTGCAGTCATTTTCACTACCTTTCCTGTTTTTCATTTGGATGAAGTATCATCTGTCACCACTTTATCATATTTTTTTAGCTATTAAAAAGGCATGTAATTTTAATTTTTGTGGCTTATTAGTGTGCAAATGCCACTGGACTTGTTTAGCCTAAACTCACGGTCTAAATTCAAATCCCTCTGCTTTTGAGGAGACTGTGAGCACTTTTTAGAAACGCAGCCATCATAACCTAAAAATCAAGATACAAAAGCAAGTAACAACAAATATTATTTAAAGCAACTCTACCTGGAGAGGAAATAGTTACACAAATTTTCTAAAGTAATTCTGTGAACCAAATACTGAAATATGATAAAATAACATACAGTCCTCAACTGAGAAAGTTGAAATCACAATTTCACGACCTATCTGAACCTGGTGGACAAAGAATCATAAATAACTAGAAAAGTGGAATGCATTTAACCATTAACCAGTCCTTTGGAGAATATGTAGTAAGTGCACAGTCTCCATTATTTTATTAATAAGCAAATTTATTTAGAGATATACATTCCTTTAAAAAAATTAAAAAGAAAAACAGAAACGGCAACAAAAAACTTGAGGGTGGTCTAAGATGTCTGTCTTCTTTATGTAACCTTTTGCATTTTGTGTTTAAGAACTGACATTCCAAATGGTTTTCTTTGGCTTTATGCCTAGAGTGAATACTGAGGCAGCAAATTAGGAATGCTTAAGAAGTCCCACAAAGGAAGATGTTTGCTGTGAAACTGCAGTTAATGTGACACTTGCACTGGAAGCTTCTTAGCCTGCTCAAATGATGAAAGATGGCATGAGTCTGGGTGATGTAAGGAGAGTGAATGAAGACTGAAAGGACCATGTACTGAGTATACAAGGTGTTTGTGGTGGCCAGTTATCTGCCACTGTGACTATGCTTATACTACCTTTTATTTCTATTTCAGGGGCTAACTTTGTCACTCGAAAGATTAGCCGATCGGTAGCAAAGATTCACCTCGGACAGCTGGACTGTTTCAGCCTGGGCAATCTGGATGCTAAGAGAGACTGGGGTCATGCCAGGGACTATGTTGAGGTAAGCTGGGCCTTTTTCTAAGTCATCTTCATGGTGGGGATAATGCTTATTGCTGTAACTTCAGGTCGTGGTCCATGGAGGGCTATCTTGAGATTTTTGTTGCCTGTTGAGGTCTGTTAACTTTGTCTTGCTCTTGACTTCAGATTAGGGAATTTAGTAACACAACAGTCTACCCCAGGCATGACCTGAACAGAAAAATAAATCTTTGAGTTTACATTCCTTGCCTGAATTCCTGGGGAAGGGGTCTGACTATAATGTGGATCTATTTTAGAGTATTTCTTCCATTCTTCTGACAAATTTTATGACCAATATTAAAATTGCAGCAAGATGCAGTGTAACCTGAAGTCAAAGACCCTGCTGGAGGTTGGTGACCTTTATTTAATAAGGCAAGAAGGATGTGTATATTAATGATCAAAGGTCTTTCTGCTTATACATTAGAAAGAAGCATCACAACATTGTTGTGATGGCAGGTTTTGGAATGCATGAGCCTGAATTTAGTGTTTGAAATGTTTTTGTAGTCAGGATTTGTTTCTAATTTTATTCTACCCATCTACTTAAGCAGACAAACAAACAATACCCCTGCATTGTATTACAAGGGGACATGAATGAGCATGTAGGAAATATTGTCTTTTCCCCAGGAGATTTTTGTCCCCATTTTGGTGCTTAAAGATTTCCTGTGGTCATTGGACTATTTCTGTCTTTTAATAATTCCTTGCTGGGAAACCGGATTTGACTTCACCATTCATTGATGCAGTTTAAAAAGATGACGACTGTTTGTTTTGTTTTTCTGTATTACAAAATAAGAAGTATCACAGTAGGAAAAAGTCTGATTTTTATCGTAAATTGAGATTTTAAAGATAAAGTAAAAGCTGAGCTCTCAAATCTTGTTTATGGTCAAAAAGAAACAGCAAGAAAACAAAATCATAATACCTCAATGTTTACTTGTGTTCTGGATGACATTAAAACAAGTAAACAGCTGTATTGCCTTGGCATCAAAGGGGTTACATTAAAGTAAGAGAAGAAGGTTCCTTTTGTCAGTCAGCTATAATTGAAATTGGCTTTGGTTCTGTGCAGCATTTGTGTGTGAGGTGCTAAGGGCACCATCAGTGTTATGACTGTACCTCCATGACTGTTGTTCTATATTTGTGGCTACAACATTAGTTGAAGTAGTATACCAGCCCTATCATGTTATTAACGCATAAAGCTATAGTCAAGAGTATTCATAAAATCAGTTACCAAGTCTCAACTGAAAGGAAGTAAAAGCTGCCAAATAAAATGATTAGTTGCATGAACATAATGAATATAATTTGCTAACAGGCATTGGATATTTCATAAAGACTCTGGCTGTCTCATTCCAAGACAATTTATGCTAAGTCATAAATCATGGGATGAATCCTGATGTCTTCTTCCGTAAGGGAAATGCAAAATAACCCTCTTGTGCCTTATGTGTCAGACCCTTGTCCTATGTTCAGAGTAACACAGAGTGGGTAAGGTTGGAAGTGGGTTATCTGGTCCAACCTCATTGCTCAGGCAGGATTATCCTAGAGCATATTGACTAGAATTGTGTCCAGAGAGTTCTTGAATATCTCCAGTGAGGAAGACTCCACAACCTCTCTGGGCAATCTGTTGCAGTGTGCGGTCACCCACACAGCGAAGAAGTTATTCCTCATATTCAGGTGGCACTTCCTGTGCATCAGTTTCTGCTCTTTGCATCTTGTCTTATTGCTTGGCACCACAGAGAAGAGCCTGGGCCCAACCTCTTGACACCCTCCCATCAGATACTTATATACAGTGATGACATACATCCCCTGTCAGCTGTCTCTTCTTGAGGCTGAACAGGCCCAGCTCCCTCAGCCTATAGAGTCTATCATTCAAACCTTTAAAATCAAAAAGGAAATGAGAACAAGTCTATTCAGAAGAATGACTAGCTTTCAAGGCCTTTGGCCTCCAGAAGGAATGTAGTTGTCTGAGGTCTATGGCACAAACACATGTTTCTTGTGCAAGTAGCATTCCAGGCCTTTCAGCTACACATTCTGGGCCTGTCCCAAAATCTTCTGGAAAGAATTCCTCTCTAAAATATAGTTCATCTTGAGTATTTCTCATCCCAGAGAGGTATCCCTTTGGATAATGGGAGAATTATTATCAATTCTCTAATTCCCTGAGTATTGTGAAAATGTGGTTACAGGCAGCCTTCTAATGGCTAAAAAATAGAGTAACTTTAAACTGGAAATAAACAATTATTTGAGGCTTTAATGGACTGGAAAGTAGGGCTTAGAGATTTAACGTTGTTCAAATAAATACATAGTATGTTAGAAAGCATGATCATATTTACAAGCATTTGGGGAGCTTCCTTAAGCATATGGCTGAACACATAGGGATATATCTTATCCTCTCCATATGTAGTTTTAAATCCCATCGATATTAATACAAGTAACACATGTGCGTATAGACAGACCATGTACCGTGTTTTCTTTCTTCTTATTTCCTTATTAGGGATAATAATAAAACCATAAATGCATTCCTTTTTGTTGTTTTATAAAATATTATGGGTCAATTCCTGATCTCATGAAAGTTGATGAGCAAATTCCCATTGACTTTGTTGAGAGACCATATCCGTATGTGCTCAACTTGAGAATGTCTGATGGTTACAAAGGCCAGTATGATTTTGGGCAAAATCCTTTGCATACAGTAAAGTAGGGAAGAGTGTTCCTGCACTGCAGCATGTATGTGCCCACCAAGGGATGGGTTGGGGTTAGCTTTAATAACAGACAATTCAGAAGTTTGAGGTTCAAACATAAGTTCATATCAGTGGAGAACAGTTGGAATATGTGTTTGATTAGGCTTTTGTTCTGGAACTTGAACTGCCACCTGCATGCACAGGGTACAGCAGCATTGTGCTGGTGAATGAAAACTGGGAAGTCCAACTCATTAGAAAGAAAGGATTCCATTCAGTGTTTGAAGAGAATAGAATAGAAATAGGTAGACATTAAAATTGATAATCCTACACCAAAAATTTTCAATCTAAAATTACAGTGGTAACTCTTAACATATTGGCAGAAATTGCTGCTGCTTCTTGCTACCTCTTTCCTAATTTTTACTCTGCTGTGATCCAGCACAAGTCTCATGGGATGATATTTGAGATAAGGATCAATGCCACTGAGTTGGAAGAGGAAAAACAATATATCAGTGCTGTTGACATATGAATCTTCTGTGTACTGTTTTGTTTTGTGATGGTAATGTACCTTTTATTTGTTGCAGACCATCTGCCAGGTATTTTCAATTATTAGTTCAATAACAAACCTTAAGAGTCTGTGTCATTTCTATGCCATTTATAAAACAGAAGGAATCATACACATTTCCTCAGAAATCATAAAGATTTTCCTCACCCAAGAGTCTTATTTCAAATAAATATAGATCTTTAAAACATTTAACTTGGACCATTAAAAAATGCCCATCAATCACACAACCACAGAATCAGTTAGGTTGGAAAAGACCTCTGAGATCATCAAGTCCAACCTATGACCTAACACCACCATGTCAACTAGACCATGGCAGTGAAGTGTTACGTCCAGTTTTCCCTTAAATACCTTCAGGAATGGTACACCACCTCCCTGGGCGTCTCATTCCAGTATCTAATCACCCTTTCTAGTGAAGAAATTCTTCCTAATGTCCAACCTAAACCTTCCCTGATGCATAAGACTATGTTGGAAGAAGAGACCAACCCCCACCAGGCTACAACCTCCTTTCAAGTAGCTGTAGAGAGCGATGAGGTCTCCCCTGAGCCTCCTCTTCTCCAGGCTAAATAACCCCAGCTCCCTCAGCCTCTCCTCACAGGACTTGTGCTGCAAACCCTTCACTGGCTTTGTTGTCCTTCTCTCAAACCACTTCAGCACCTCAATGTCCTTCCTAAATTGAGGTCCCAGAACTGAACACAGTACTTGATGTGCAGCCTCACCATTGCCAAGTACAGGGGAAGAATCACTTCCCTAGTCCTGCTGGACACAATATTGCTATTCTTGGCCACTTGGGCACACTGCTGGCTCATGTTCAGCTGACTTCCAACCAGCATCCCCAGGTCCTTTTCCTCTGGGCCAGTTTCCAGCCACTCTAACCCCAGCCTGTTGAACTGCATGGGGTTACTTTGGCCAAAGTGTAGGAACCATCACTTGGGTTTGTTGAACCTCATACGGTTGATCTCAGCCCACTGATCCAGCCTGTTCAGGTACCTCTGCAGAGCCCTCCTACCCTGTGGAAAAAGAGCAAGTTCATATTACAGTTCAAAAGCTGAGACTTTTTCTTCCTTTCCTTCGGTTTCCTCTTTATCACTCGCTGATGATCAGACTGCCTTCTGCAGTTGTGCTGCCTACACCTCAGTGTTGTGCAGACAGTGGAAATACTGCATTGATAAATGCAGGAAAAGCCTACCAATATATGTCTTACAAAACTAACAGAACAAGTCAAAGATAACAGTTTTAATAATCTTTAGGTATTTATACAGATCAGAAATATTCTCTCTTGCCTTCAATAGAAATTCAGCAGTATTTCAAGCAATAATTACAGAGGACTCATAATTTGGTCGTAATTGGCACCAATTAAATTAATTACATGTCTAGTCAAATGTTTAGAATTAAGTATGGGCCTGCATTAGTGGTGAAATCAGGGTGCATTTGGTATTCTGAATGGGAATCAGCTTCCATTAATTTATATTTAAATAATGTAAAAGAAAACAATCAAAGCAAAAGAGAATAGTTTATAAATAAGTAATATAGTAAGTTATTGTACAAGCCAACCAAGTGTATTAAGAAACTGCTTGAAGAGAGACTTTCCATCTTACTCTTTTTTTTTGCTTTTTTTCAAATATGTACTGGTGCTGATTCATACTTTACTCTGCAATTAAAATGCATAAGAAAATGCAGTGATTTTTATTGTCTTAAACAATTTTGTGCCCATTGAAGTTGAATAGTAAAATCTAGTCTTTGTTTTAATCTCTAGTCAGCATC